TCCATTGTGGAAAGCTTTGTGGAGGACCCTCAAATTACTAAAAATGGATGTACCGGGCCTCCCCGGTAGCGCAGCGGTTGAGCGCTGGGTTGCGAAGCTGCCCGCGGCCTCCGCGGCGCCGGTTCGATCCCCGGCTGCTCCCCGGCCACCAGAGGAGGGTCCCACATGGCGCGCAGACTTCTCCTGCCGCCCGCTGCTCCCCTCAGCAGTGTACTTCGGTCCTTCTGCCTGCTCTGCTCCCTGCTCTGGCTCTGGTGAATTCTCTCACCCTCCCGCGCTTCTGACTGTACCCAGTGCACGTATAAACAAAACAAATAAACAAATAAATAAATAAAACATGCCTCTATAAAAAAAAAAATGGATCTACCATATGATACAGCAATTCCACTCCTCGGACTCTACCCAAAGGGCACAAAACCATTAATTCAAAAGGAAATCTGAGGGGCCTTCCCGGGGGCACAAGAGTTAAGATGCAGCCTATGAAGCTGTCTGCAGCCTCTGCAGCATGATTTCGATCCCCAGCTGGCCAGGGAGCAACCCACACGGCGCAGCAGAACTCTCCTGACTTGCTCGCTGCTCCCCTCAGCAGTGTACTTCGGTCGATCTATGTGTTTAGTTCCCCACTCTGTCTCTGGTGAATCCTCTCACCCCCTCCCCCAATACCTCTGGCCTGTACACCAGTTCTTGTATGAATAATAAAAAAAAATCTTAAAAAAAAAAGGAAACCTGCACTTCTATGTTCATTGCAGCACTATTTACCATAGCTAAAATATGAAAACAACCTAAATGCCCAAAAACAGATGACTGGATCAGAAGATGTGGTATATATACACAATGGAATACTACTCAGCAATTAAAAACAATCTTAGTTTTAGCCTTCACTCTGGGTTAAGAGAGAGCAGGTTTAATTCTGATTATCATTCAAATTCACTAATGCTTTGGATTTTTCATTATCAACATACCTGATACACTCATGATGGTCTAAGTATATCTGAGTCATTGATAACATGGTAGCCATGTGTGGGTCCAGAGGAGCGCTCTGAAGCAGGCCAACAGAAACCACTTCCCTGTTGGCTTCCTTATCTATGAACATTCTTTGGGCCCAGCTGATGAACCCATCCTAGGCCTCGCTTCTGCATCTCACCCACAAAGACCACTCAAGAGCCTCACTAATGTATGTGTCCCAGAAGGATGGTGAAGATGTAAAAATCTGATGAGTTTGGCTCTATGTTAAATACTTCGGGTCATCCACAATTAAAGGAATAATAGGAGAAAGTTTTTGAAAAAACAGAGCTTTTTAGTGAAGCAAAAACTATAACCCAATCCCTTGACTTTGTAACTCTGGTATTTTATATACTTCAATCACATCTACATTAGAGATGAGATAGAATGTGAAAGTCAAAGTTCTGTGGTAGGTATTTTAATACAGACTTTAAGATTGTGGCTAAGAATGGACATCATATACAGTTTATTTATAGCAATTTTAATTAGTGTTTACTATTTTAAGAGCACACATGAATAAACTTCTCAATTAAAAGCAATTCTTTCCAGTTTTTTGTTAATTTAAAGATTCAAAGACAAAAGAAAATCTGAAATTAAAATGTAAATGTTCTACTGGGATATAGAAGCTTCAGAAAATCTGGCTGCCCAATTTTGAAGGCTAATACATTCTTATTCTTTAAAGGAAAAAAAAAGAAATGTCCTCATAGGAATGTTCTTTTATTTAAAATTATTCAGAGATTGATTCACACTTTAAATATTTATAATGCCAACTGGTTGTGTAAAAGAAAAAAATAGAGAGGACTTATGATGTCACTGATGATGTTTGCTAAACCAAAAAGCAGCTGTGGAATAATAATTAGTCCTGTCATGAATGAAATTTTCAAAATAAAAGCTTTTCGCTATTCTCTAGAATAAGGGAAATAGGATGGAGAGTTCTAGTAGGTGAAAGAAACACTTACACTGAGTGTACTAATTAACCAAGTCTACAGCTCAATAATTTAAAAGGAAATCTCATTTAAAAGCTATGTAAGGGCCTTTGAATTTGCCATCATTAGCTTGAGACTGAATTTTTTTTTAAAGGACTAAATGAATTTCCCTTAACTATTTGCCACAATCATCTTGCTTTGTACCCAAAAAGCCAAAAATCAAAAATTGGTGACTTATTTCAGTGGTGTTTGAAACATCATAGAGTGCACACAATATACAACTTGTCTAATTACACTGAGAGTGAAGTTATTTATCCCTTAGAACAGTAGTAAAAATTAACGTTTGTGTTATAGACACAGGATTAGAGTTGACTTTCCTTTTTAAAATTTATCTTCCATTTTACAGTGCAATAACTGATGTAAAATAAGATTTGCTCATGGTCAGCAGAAGTGAGCTGGAGGGTAAAAAGCTCGTGGGATGCAAGAACATACTGTCTCCCGATACTTTAAATTCCCAGTATTTACTGAGGACTTAGAATGTGAATTGAGCACACAGTTTCAGTGAAAACTCTCTCTGGGTGATGGTGCACATAAGCTTTTATTTGAGTTCCTGCCATACGCCTTTCTTTAATAAGTCATATTCATATGAGATCCACCAAAAAAGAAAATCTCTGGTTCATCTGTCTTGCAAGTTTATTCAAGATGTCCTTGATCTCTTTTCTTCTCATTTCCCATCAGAATGATACAGCAGAACATGTCTGGCAGATACTGCAAAAGGACCTCTACAAACACTTGAAATACTACTGGTTTCTGCTCTATTTTTAAAAGATAATCATTTGATAAGAAAGACTCAAATGAATGACCTCATTATACATTTTAGCACAGGGAAATTACATAATTTTAAGAATTAACTGTAAAATATGAAGGGGAAATTTAAACATACATTTGGATAGTCAGACACCCGAGGCACATATGAAGACTGTCCCTGAGATAATGAGATTTGCCGACAGAAGTGCTGTCTGGAAGGGCACTTAATTGCTATTTGCTCACGATTGGCAAATTGGAATCTTCAAGAAGTGAGTAACTGTTCTCTACAGGGACTATGCTAGTCTGATCTTTAAGTTTCCAGTTAACTTCCTATGCTAATCAATAGGGAAAATACCTGCTGCATCTTCCAAGACACAAATATAGGTGACATGCTATATTTTGGAATTAATTGCCTTTGCAACATTCTGAGTAGGTACTCTCTGGTCATGCTTATATCATAGCATTATTTCCATAAAATCTACATTCTTTCCATGATTAGAATCTGCTTCTTTCAAGAAAGCTAGACCAAATCAGAAACTTACTATTTTTTCCTACTTAAAACAATAGACTTGCTAAAACTAAAACATTCACTTATCACTTTTTCAGGAATTTGTGTCAGAAGCTACTGAAAATTGATCAGCATCTCAAATAGTAAAATTTAAATACTATACTGCAGCATTATTTGATGATGGCCTTCTACCTGGGAAACCAGGATGGTAGCTGAATAGTGAAGGAATTCTGTGGTTGGGCCCTAGTCCAAAGGCAGATCAGTGGCTTTTTGAAATGCCATGAGATGCTTTCACCCAAGTATCAGTTCATCCCAGTACCTGTCCCTTTTCAGCCTCCTCTTTCATTCCCATCAGCAACTATTTGGTTTTCTTTTAACATCTCTTCCCACTTCCCTCGTTTCCAGCAGGCTACTCTGCCCTCCAACTGAGATGATCAGGTGAAAGCTTGCCCCCAAACTGCCAGCTCCACTCCCAGCAGAAAGTCATGGACTTCTTTCCTTCCTCCAGCCCAGAATAAGGTCTAATTGAAAAGCTGTCAAAACTGCCAGTCCTCTCAGTTCCTGAGTGGAGTTGCCTCCCAGAACTCGTGTGTGTCCAGGGCTCCTACAGTGAACCTGTCTTATGAGGTAGAATCCTCTCCCTCCCTCTACTCATCTTTGTTTCTTTGGCCCCTCCAACCTAGCCTAGCAAGCCCTAGTTCAGCAAATCTGTGTTGAACTGAAATTGTTTACTTTTGAGTATGAGTTAATTTCAATAGCTTGAACCAGAACTGAGAGTGTCCCAGATTGTCTACAGAACAGTATATGATTTCTGCTCCATTTTATTTTTCAACCCCTAAGTGACCCAAAAAAATAGGAGTGAGAAATTTCCAGTGATTCAAGTTGTAAGATAAAATACAGACTTCCCAGTCCAAAGTGAGCTTCAGGTAAACAGCAATAAACTCTAGTATAAGCATGTTCCAAATCATGCATGGGATATTAACTAGAAAGAACTGTTTCATGGTTTATCTGAAATTTAAATGTAACTGAAAAGAATGTATTTTTAAAGTGTGACAACCAACCAGTGACTCTTTAAAAATTTTCAGCAGACTCACTTTCTCTGCAACACCTGGAGGTTTGTGTCCACGCTCTGCAAACTTCTCAATTGGCCAGATTTATGTCTGTTAGTGCAGCTGGCTTTCTTTTTGGGCATTTCAGTAACACATTTTAGAAAACACTTTTTTGGTTATAACACTTCCCTTTATTTTGCTGCTTTCATAGAATTCCCTTCTAGTCCCATCTATTAAGAACATTAATAGAACAAAGAACACTGTAAGGTTTCTCAAAATTTCTCAAAAAACATATCCACAGAGTTACTATGATGCCTGAGTTAAGGTCTGGCTATCTTTATTCACAGTTAACAATTTTTGAAAAATTCCTATTTTCCATGAAGTCAGCAAAAATAAATAAATAAATAAAGGAAATAAATATCTGTCATTTGGGGATTTATTTCTTCATTAATCAAATACAAGGAGAAGTACCCTTCAGGGGACCAGACTGGGAGAAGCAACCTGGCAGGGGGAGGTGGAGCCTGTGATGTAACTGCAGTGGCTTTGTTGAAAAAGCCTTTCCCTAAATGTGAAACATCTGTAAATCCAGAGCTACTGCTCTACCATGTATGGGTTAGGGGGAGAGGAGAGGTGCCTCTTTTAGCCTGGTGTCAGTCTTGGAGGCTTGAAATCTTAGTCAGCAGAGGAATTCTTCTGTCAAAGACATACCTGGCTCACCAATGATGGAAAAACCCGGCTTGGAAAAAGCCGTTTTGGAACAAGCCGGTTCTTCCGCAAATAGAGACCACATCTGAGTCCTAATTGCTGTGTGTTCTGGCGTACTGAATAACGATGATGGTGCAGTGGGAGCTCTAACCTAAAGGGTCATGAAAGATGCCCTCCAGTTTCTTCCAGTCCTGAAAGTCCCTTCAAGAATGTGATCTTCTTTCAGTGTTCTTGACAGTGACGACAGAAAAGGTATTTCTTTTTTTATTCCCATGAAAGAATCCAGGAGAGAGAAACACCTCCCAAAAGGACAGCGATACGAAAGTGTGCCTGCTTTGGAATTTCAACGAGACCGATCTCGGAGACAACTTCGAGGGCGGGAATGACTAAGTCCTTTGTGTCTACCTGGTGTCATAAGACGATAATGAATTAACACGTTCACCCCAACACACGCACTCTACCTGCCTTCCACCATATTGGCAGCGCCAGAAGAGCGCGGTTGTCAAGCGATGGCACGACACGCACGCACTGCAGAGATGCAGAACAATGCCTGGATGCCCGCCCAAACCCGGTGCCTGCAAACGACGGCCTCAATTTACGGTGCCCAGCTAAAGCTCACTGTGGGTGGGCAGCGTCTTTTTTCTCGTGGGTGCGGGGAAGGGGCAAAATTTGGAAAGCTCCTGACACAGGGCTGCTTCTCGCCTGGCCAGCGAAGCTGACAGACACATTCATTAAACTTGATCTGAAGCAAGCGAGCGGCGAGGTCGTTCCTGAAATATTCATAAGGTGTGTTACCGGACTCGCCACTTAGAGGCTGAGCAGAAACACCGTGAGCAGGAGCAGCCCGCACCCACACCTGGAAAAAAAGGTTCTCCACGGTTTGCTCCAACTGCTCTGTGACCGGCGCTCCCCGCTCGCCTGTTCAGTTCTACCTGCCCGGGAAAGAGGTGCTCTGAGAACTGAGGAGTTTCCCGGCAGTTGGAGGGGGCGCAGCGCGGGCGACCCCCCCCCCCCCGCCCCGGCCCCCGGCAGCTCGCGCTGCCCCAAGGGCCTTGATCCTCGGGACTGGGGGCGAGGGTGGGGGGCAAGACCCCGACCCGCCACTCGCCCAGGCCAGGCCGTGCTTCGTCCCCTCCTCCCATTTTGGTCTCTCTCGGGGTTCCTTCCCCAGAGACCTCGGCGTTCCGTTGCCAGGTGACCCGCACGCGGGCCGAGATGCCACGAGTCCCTCGCGCCGCCCCGCCGCCCGCGGACGCGAGCTGGGGGGCGCGGGGGGCAGCACCCGGGAAAGGCCGACAGTCCTGGGTGACCGCAAAGCCCGGGCACCGGAGCAGTGTACACTTGCCTCCCCGTCTCCGCTCTGCCCACGGCACCCCATCTCCGCGGCGCCCCAGACGCAGCGCAGTTAGCACCGCGCCCGGCGTGCTCGCCGCCGCCTCTCTCCTCTGCAAGGGCGACCCCCGGCTTCTGCGGGCCGGCCCCAGGCCCCGCCACTCACCTGCACCCGGCGGCGGCAGGAGGCTCAGCAGGTCCCCGCGGGCGGCAGCCGGGTCTCCATCGCCGCCTCCCCGGGGCGCTCCAGCTGCGAGCTCGGCGGCGGCGGTGGGCGCGGGCGGTCCCCGGCGCGGCGGCTGCTCGGGGGTGGCCGCGGCTGCCGCACTGGCTGCAGGCGCGGGAGGGGCCGGGCCGGCCGGGGCGGGGCAGGAATCTGGGTCGCGGGAGCCGAGCGAGCGGGGCAGCACCCCGGGTGGCCGGCGGCGAGGAGGCGGCCGCGAGGTTTCCCGGGAGCCGGGCGCGGGCGCGACTGAGCATGCCCAGTCCCCGGCCGGGGCGCGGGCGCGGGCGCGGGCGCGGGGAGGGAGCGGGGCCCGCGGGCCCCGCGCGGAAGTCAGGGGGAAAGGGTTAAAGCTGCGGCCGCCGCCGCTGCTGTGCGCGCAGAGCCGAGAACCGGCTGCAGTGGCCCAGTTGAATTGCGCCTGGGTCGCGCCCCCGAGGCTCCCGGCCCCGAAATAGGTGAACCGCGCAGACCTGCCAGTGGGACTCCTGAAGGGTCCTGGAATGAGAGAGCGAGGTGTGTTCCTCCCTCCCTCCCTCCCCGGAGAATTGCCCAAAAGTCAAAGTTGTTTTTTGGTGTTTTTTTTGGTTTTTTTTTTTTGTTTTTAGCTCAGCTCCAACCTCTGCGATCTCACTGAGTGATTTCCTCCATCCAGACACCCACCCTCCTCAGCTTTTCTGTGCCAGGGACCAGCTCGCAGGGGCAGCCCCTGCCATTCCGGACTCCTGCGCCTGACCAGCAGGGTCAAGTTTGCAAAGAGCCGGTTGTTTAATTAGGAGTAATTGAGAGGCGGTGTCAGTCATCCCAGGTCACATATCTGCATTTCTACCAGGGATTCAGAAACAATACCTTACCCTGAGTTAATTGTAATGGATGCATTGCAGACAGATCGTAGGCTGTTTGGGGGACGTTGCCTCACAAGGGCAACAGGACTGGCCAGAGTGTGTTTCTCTCTCTCTCTCTCTCTCTCTCTCTCTCACACACACACACACACACACACACACACATTCACGCTGGGAGACTTGTCCCTTTCTTTGCTATTGTTTTCACATTTGGATAAGAACAGTTTCTCTACAGCTCATCAAAAAGCTTCTTATGTCAGAGGCAACCTAGGTTGAGGACATGAGTTTCCAGGTCTCCCTTGATTTCAGTGTCATTAATCAACCTAGCAGGTAACTAGCCATTAGGCCTCTGTTTTGTCAACTATAAAAGAGAGTGGTGACCCCCATTTCTCTTAGCTGCTGTGAGGATTAAGAGAATGTACCCAAAACACCTGTTATATAGCAAATGTTTGTTAAATGAAAACCTTTTCAGGTTCTACCTCCATTATTGTTTTCATGAAAGGTTGGGTAGTGATTTTCCTTAAGTGGTGGACATTTATCATGTCTTACTTCACACTTAATAATCTTAAGCTTTGATTTTTCTACTTTAAAAAATTTTGTTAAATTAGCTACTTTGCAGCATTAACTATTACCTTTTCTTTCAACTCTCCAATATCTTTACACTTCCTTGAATAAAACTCTTGGAAAAAGCTAGACCAAGGGTTCACTTGGGAGGAAAAAGCTTTTCAGAGACATTCATTATGGACAGGTTTGTCCATATGACAAAAGACTTTTACTCCATAGTCTTACAAAAGTAGTTTTAATTTACTTACATTCCCCTGTGGTTCTTGTTTCACAACTATTGCATTAAGGAAGATATGCTTGTAACAAAGAGATTTACTTTCCACTAATACTGTCCACTTTTTAAAGTATCAATGTTCAAAAACTAAACTTTTCATTATACCCCAAACATACCATGTTCTTCATAGCACTTTACCTTTATTTATGGTGTTCCATCTTTTCTGGAATATTCTTCATTTCCCATTCCACCTCAGAAAGCCCTACCCACTCTTCAAGTTCAAATGCAATCTTCTATCTGAAGCCTTCCTCAGATCCTAAGGAAAGGTGCCATAGCACCAATGCATACTACTCTCATAGCAAACTGAAACCATTTATTGAGCAACTATTAAATGCAGGCACTGTTCCAGGTGCTGGAAAAACAACAATGAACAAGACAGACATGGTCCCTGCCATCAGGGAGATTGGCAAAGATAGGCAGTAAACACAAACAATATATAATCACCAAGGACACAGGTCAAGTATATATTTGATTTTGTATTATACATCAAATTAAACTATGTGGTCTTGAGTCATCCTTCTTAAAACATCAGTAAAAATATTATCATTGGCCCAAAGCTGACCAAACTACATAGACATGAGTACAACCTGTTTATAGTTGAACCAATGATATTTAGTCCTTTCATTTGACTCTCTCATTTTAAACAGTCCTAATCCTAAACCACCTTAGATAGATACCTGCAATCCTATATCATGAGTGGAAGGTGATGGGGGAAGGCCATGCCAAACTATATCCTTTCTCTAACCTCAAGGAATGGTTTTCTCCAATGGTCAGATTCATTGTAGATCACTGGATCCGATACGCGAGCACGTCTTTTAGGATCAATCATCACTCCCAGCCCCTTTTCTTCTCACTACCTTTGGCCTTTATGTCAATAGCTATTCTTTGTTGCACAACAGTTGACTGTTTGGATTTACCTACTGAGTGATCTAAGCTTTTCTCTGATTGTCTGACTGTTTGAGTGTGAGACATACATACTACCACTTAGAAGCAACTTACCAAAGTATATTTGCATACGTATATTCCACAGTAACTATCGACAGCCTTGTACTGTTTAATATTTAACTCCAGGGCAGGATCTTGCTCATCTTGTACTTAGCAGACATCCAATATGCAATAGACCCTCAATAAAAGATGATGAAATGAATGAATGAATGTATACAGGTACTCATCTTGTTCCCACAGATCATTCATAGTTCCTTTTCAATTGATCTTTGTAACTCTGGGATTTGGTTCAATTTTGCCCTTTCCTAATACACTAGTTCCCTCCATTTTCAAAACCACATATTTCTCTATTTCGGGGTACATAGAGCATTGTGGAAGAAAATCTTAGCCACAATTCATTACAAAGGTGTGTGTTTTATAAATAAAACAAACTTTTAGATTTTAAGGCCAGTTAAGGGCTTTCTGTGTAAGTTATAACTTACACAATGTTATGAAGTAATTTTATTTAAATTAAAGGAAACTGTATGTTTTAGCTAAAGCCACAACCCACCCTTTACAAATCAGTATCACTATGACTTCCTTAACTATGTGGCAACTCTATAAAAGTTTTCTTTTCTACCTCCCCCATTTATTGTGTTATTTTGCACTGTACATCTTGCCCTCTCCCCACTGCATCGTAGATGAAAGACCATGGAGTGTCATCAAGCACAATAATGGGAATGGGCTCATGTAAATATCTCCTCCTCCTCCTTTCTTTCCTCTTCGGTTTCAGGAAATACTATCTAGTTCTTGAATGCTATTCTATACCAATTGACTGTTCTATTTCATTTTTATTCTCTCCTTTGGCTTCATCAACTTTTCTTAAGTATCTTTCAACCATCTGCAGTCTTCTCACACACCTAACCCCACTTGAGTGGGAAATCTGATTTGACCCCAATGCCCTTGTAAGATATCTAATTATAAACTCTCTAATATAAACTTTCAAGGGTCCTTTAAAGAAAACTCATGGGCCCTTTCCCATCTCCAGGTGTGTCCTTGGTGCTTTAACATGGCTACAGTCATAGCTGCCAAGCCTGTGAGGACAAAGAGAGGTGTGACCTCATGCTCTGCTAACCGGAAATAGCTTTCCTAAAAATCCCCACCATGGCACATCTCTTATCCTTCCCTAGTACAAGGTACCAGTCAAGGGAAACTGCTTTGATAGGCAGCTCTGTCACAGGCAAACATAGAAAGCATTTCTCATCAGTTAATGTTTGTAAAAGTACAGGTAATAGACAACTTAGCAGGATGACACACAGAGAGAGGTCTTTAGAATTTCTGTTAATAGACTTGTTGGAGACCAGTAGATCTTTGGATTAATCCAAGAAGTGCCTCATGGGTTTCCAAACCGGTAGGGATTGAGGCACAGGTAGTTTAAAGGTGATGCCCTGCTTGAATAAAGGAAGTAAAGTGTTTTGGTGAATTTGCTAGAATAATGTTACCTAATGTTAATACCCCAACCTGGAGATTAAGGAGCCTAGGGGTTAACCACTTTCAGCTTTATCTCGGAATTGAGGGTGATAATAAAAGCATGTACCTCAGAGTGTGGCTGGCAGGATTAAATCAGTTAATGGTGTATACAGTGCCAAATGCAGTGGCAGACCCATAGTGCTCAAAATATCTCAGCCTTAATTCAGCTGCATTATTTTTGGATAAAAAGTTTATTTAACAGGGTCTCCCCTGGTGACGCAGGCGGTTGAACGCAGTGCTGTGAAGCTGTCCATAGCCTCTGCAGCGCCGGTTTGATCCCGGCCGGGCCAGAGGGTCCCACAT